AGCCAGAAAAACTGAGTATAAATACTCTGTAATTCATAAAACTTATAGGAAGACCACTTACATAAATTTCTCCCAACACTCAGCTGGACAAAAATAAATCAATAATATAAGAGTATACAAACAATATTTCCCCCAAAGCATTCTGGAAGCTTTATTTCAAAATTATCATAATGTCCAGGTTAATGAGCCCTAGTATCTTAAGAAATAACCCTGATAAAATATCCAAAATTTTTCTGTATTATTAGTTAACTATCTAGTTGTTTGGAAGTCTTTCTTTCTCTTTCCCTCTCAGAAAAACCTAGGTATATTTTCCCTAATCATCTTCTTCCCCAATCTCACAGTATTTGTATTTCGACACAGGAAAAATAGCCTGCATGCTATTTCTTCTAAATACAATACAACGAACAGTTCTTTTTAAATTGCCAAAACCTAGATTATATGTGAAAAAAAATCACATATGTACCTCAGACCAAAACAGCTATTGTCACGCTGGCATCCTGAATGAATTTAAAAGAAAATAAGAGGCGAGAGAATGCAAATAACATGAATTGGAAAGCATAGCTCCAATTATTGAAAGATTTAAGAATCAGTAACATGTTACTAGCTACATGTGTGACCACATCACACAATTTCTGCTTCTATATAATTGCTTTTGTCTGCCATCCTCCACCCACATTTAGGCTTACTTAATATACACAAAAAGCATACTTTGAACATAGAAAATAGGGCACATAACCCTGTCCTTACCTTTTTTGTATCTCGTTCACACCAGTGGACAACTTTTCTACATGCAAAAGTAAGCACAATAGCTGCAGCTGTAAAACCAGCACTTTGGGAACTGAAGTGGAGCTGTGCAGGTACTCAATAATATATACAGATTAGTCAGAGAGAGAGTTGTACTTCATGACTCAGTGGTTCTTCACTAAAGCTTTCTAGCTCTAATGCTTTCACAATAAAAGTCCCTTAAAGTTCCTGGGAATTCAAGCACCCAGTTGCTAAAAGCAAAATATTTGAAGTGGGGATGGAGGTATATGCTGTCTTGTTTTATTTCTTCTAGTCTTCTTTTCTTAAAAAAGTATATCCTATTTTTTTCACTGTCTCCCAAGAGCAAGATGTGTGTGTGTGTGTGTGTGTGTGTGTGTGTGTGTTATTTTCATGAGGGGCTCAAGATTCTACATTAGCAGCTTGTTTGAGTATTCTTTTCTGTAAAATTGTTTACATTTCAATAAGTTATTATGGAGGGATCTCTAATAAATGAACCTTGAAAAATAAATAATTTAAACTCTAGATTTAGCGTTTGTTTTAAAATGGCAACAGATTAAGAATTTGCCATGAATGTCTTGGATAATCTTCACAGCACATAGCATAAATAATTAAGAGATCAAGATATAATAGGATACATTTGTGAATTTACTTTCCTGAGGGACAAAGATTTCAGAAAGACATTGCACTCTTTATTATAAAGAGATTAAAGAAATATGCTATAGTTAAAAAACAAAATACAATTTACCTAAATTAACTCAGAAATCTCATTAGAGTATAGTCTTAGGAGTACAGGAGGAAAAGTCTTAGGAAAAGCAAAGTAAACTAGGTAGATCAGAATACAAAATAATTCAAAATCAATCTCAGTAGTATTACATTATTAGGCCAAGTCAGAAACTTGTTAAATATAGAAACCATATTACTTCATCAAACAAAAATTAGTTTACTAGGGGAAGCTACCAATATCGAAGTCACAAAATCTTCTGAGTAGAATTTAAACAAAATGCGACATAGATATTCACTTTAGGTTTCCCTGGAATAGACTAATAACTGATCCGTATTTAAAAAATATAAAATCTGACTCTACTGGAGTCTATTTCCAGCATGACAACAACTTTAAGCATCCAAAAAGTTTCTAAGATGGAACAACAGTTGTTATACCACTTTCCCTGGTATAAATCATAACAGTTTAAAGCAAGCTTTTTTATTCATAAAATATGTTGAATTTCAGTTCCTATAATTTTCCAAACACACTCTGACTTAGCGTGAAACACATTACAGAAAAAAATGATATACAGGATTGAAATGAAGGAATGGAGACTTCCGATATCTAAGGTTGATGTCTTGGTTGATGGCTGTATGGGGGGTGCTCGCATTGCATTTTGGGGGTTTGCACGCGCTTCCCTGTGCTCCATTTTGGGCCTGGAAGGCCTTCTGCACCAACCTGGAAGCCAAAATGGGGCACGGGGGCATCACAAGAGGCCCCCCATACCCCGTTTTGGGTCTGGAAAGCCTCCTGCACCAATCTGGAAGCCAAAATGGGGCACAGGGGGCCACATGAGCCTCCCCCACAGCCTGTTTTGGGCCTGGGAAGCCTCCTGCACCAACCTGGAAGCCAAAATGGGCACAGGGGGTGGGGGTGCATACGCAGGGGGCTGGGATGCATGAACATGCACCGGAATGCGCATGCATGGGGAACACATGCACATGTGTGGGGTGGGGCGCATGCCTGGGGGGATACTCACATTGCATTTTAGGGAGCATGCGTGCATGCACACACTTTGGGAACTCAGCACCAAAAAGGTTAATCATCACTGGTATAGGGTCTCCTGCTTGAGCAGGGGTTGGACTAGAAGACTTCTAAGGTCCCTTCCATCTCTACTCTGATTGATTTGATGCCAGGGCCTTTGGAGCTACTTTGTGAATCTTACAATATGAAGAAGAAAAGTAAAAAAAATTAAAGATAAGCCACAGATCATTGTTTAAAAAATGCAATTCAAAAGAAGTGATAGTTTTAATAAAATACAATATGCACAAAACCTGCTATTTCATTGTAATGTATATACCTAGCAGCCATATAATAAAAGTGACATAACCAACAATATTCACGACCAAAAAACAATTTTTTTTTTACTTCTACTTACCTTCCGACCTGCCACATAAAGCCTTTTGAATACTTAATGAAACTTGCACAACTTGACTTAAGGAGAGCCAGTTCGATGTAGTGGTGAAAATGCTGGCTGAGAAATCAGGAGACTGTGAGTTCTAGTCTTGCTTCAGGCATAGAAGCCAATTGGGTAACTTGGGCCACTCACTTTCTTTCATCTTAACCTACCTCACAGGGTTGTTTGTGTAGGGCAAATAGAAGGAGGGAGTATTATGTATGTTCACCACTTAAGCTACTTATAAAATAATAAAGTTGAGATAAAAATCTAATGTAATAATAAAACAATTTAGTTTTCTAATTTCTGTATGAAAATTTAAGCAAGCAATACAGGTAGTCCTCAACTGATAGCTTAGCAATTTAGATGGACCTCTCTGGGGGGTACTTACAATCCAAATTAGAAATTCTAACCTCCCCCCCCATGTGACTGCACTTGTGGTTTTTGTCAACCTGGCTGCATTTTATAGTTATTTGCAGCATGTTGGGGTCATGTAACTGCATTTTATAAGGTTTGAAAACTAGCATTTGCTTCTGGTTTTTGACAAAGCCATGCCTATGGTGAGCCACAAAAAAAGGTAATAAAATCAGGTCGATCACAGGTGACAGCTGTGATGGACAAGTTCCATTATGGTCATAACTTGAGGACTACTTGTACTTTCTGCCTGCAGATATACACCAAACACATGGTTTGAAACCTGAAACTACTGGTACTAGAACAACATTACATAAGAGCCAAGCTTCAAAATTTTCATAAAGAATTTGAAGCAAAAACTTGAACTGAATTGCCTGCTATATGCCCACAGTTTTATTCTCATAGTTCTCTTATTGTTTGGAGAAATAAGAACATAGGAATGATATCTGAATGATTTTCTAGCATTACAACATGAACAAGTATTTTATTTCTTCATTCATATTACACTACAGGAAAACAATTATTATTAAAATATCTGAGCCAGGATCGTGCAGAACTATAGTGTTCTGGATTCTTTGCAGAAAGAGAGCATTTTCAAGAATTGTGCTGAACTTTAAAGGGATGCTTTAATTCAGCAAATAATTAACTGAAGCACCTGTTCAAAGCAATGGTTTTCTTTAAAATGTTAGATTAGGAGCAGCCACACTGATTCAGTCAAAATGCTAAAAGGAGGTTCTGCACAAGTACTTTTTAATTTTATTTCTGCAGGAGCAAAGTGGCTGCCAGTCTGAATCAATTTACTTCACCTGGAAATGCTAATCAAAGTTCAGAGTAGGCAGTGTTGAAAATATTGTGTTTCCTCAAAAATAAGATCCGGTCTTATATTGTTTTGGGCCCCAAAATAAGCACCAGGTCTTATTTTCCTGCATGCAGCCAGATGCTGCATGACTCATCATGCTGGTGCCACCGCTTGCAACAGGAGGCTGTGTGGTGCATTGCGCTGTTGTGTGTGTGAGTGGCGGCACTGGCATGATGTGCCATGCAGGCATCCTGCTGTGAGTGGCGGCGCTGGCACAATGAGCGACATGGCATCTTGCAGCGAGTGGCGGCATCAGCAGAGTGAGCCTCATGGCATCTTCCTACGAGCAGCGGCACCGGCATGATGTGCCACATGGCATCCAGCCACAGAAGAAGTCGGGCAGCAGCGCAACAGGTATCGGGGTATGGGAGGCCTGGACATGGCTGTCCTAAGGTAAGCGGGTGCGTGGCATGCGTGGCAGCTCCACCCCACAACCCTAGCTTGATTTTTATGCATGCGCCTCATGCCACCTCATATAACCAGACAGTGGGCGGGTTTAACTAGGGCTTATTTTGGGGATAGGGCTTATATTTCTTGCAGGTGTGAAAATCGGGCTATGGCATGTTTTCGGGGTAGGTCATATTTTCAGGGAAACACAGTGTATATTACTTAAACAGGATTCAAATCATCAGTGCTAGCTTCACTTAAATTTAACTTATATAGGTAGATACATAATTAATTCAGAAATATCCCAACAGAACTTTGACAATTAATGGCATATCTTTATCTCATTGTTCTGATTTACACTAAAAGAACTAAAGAAGACCAGAACAACTTGGTGATAATTAAAAAAAAAAACTTACTGCAGGGGCTGCACATTTATTTGTTTTTCAGAAGCCGTAGAAATTCTTCTATCATTCATCCTGCAAGTAGAAAACTAGGATAGTCTTTGTGTTGCTTCCACACACATCTGAAGACTATCAAGTTGAGAAAAGCTACTGTTATTCATAGTTTAATATAATCAGTGCCCAGGGTGTATTACAAGACACAAATGATAAGCTCTTGTCCAAGAAACTGACAAAATGTAAACAAAAGAAAAAAAGAATTAAATAAATTTGAAAAGAATGTATGATTATTTCAGTCATAAGTTACGTACTTATCTGATGTGCTATTCTGAAAGTTTCAAAGAAAGTTGTGAGGGAACTAACATCATGGTCCACTCCCATGAAAACATTTCCCCCTTAAACCAGTCTTTTTGCACATTCATTTAAATAATTTTCCTTAAACATATTAATATGCAATGAAATACATATGCTTAATATATAAAACTTAAAAGATAATGTTTTTAAAACCAGTAGTATGCCACCCAAAATAATTTTCAGCTCTACAGAAATTAAACAGTCATCTCTGCCAGACAGGAGATAAATCTTATATTCAATCAGCTTTTGTATTTTCAGAAATAAAAAAACCACCAATTATTTCTTCATATAGGAATAAACAAGCAACTCCCATGGAGGACTAACATATTCAATATATATTTCCATCTTTTGGTATACTCTAAATGCAGATCTCATGGGTACAGTATCTACAGAATAATTCAAAGCTTTCCCCAAACATTACTGTACAGAGCATAATGGGCTACACTGACAAACCAAGCAAAAGCCATGGGACTGCCCCCCTTCTCCCCCCCACTCTCTCTCTCACACAGAGATAATTATCTGAAAATTCATTTCTTAAAATATTGTTGGGATTCCGGATTTCTTAAATGTTCATCTTTTCCAAGCACTTCACACTTGAAAGTAAGTTATATTGAGAAAAATAAATGCATTCTGAATATGCCCATTATTCTGCAGATGTAAAGAAAAACATGATTCAATCAGTCTTCAATAAAAATTGTTAGTTGATGTTTTATACAAAATATTTCAATTAATGTGATAAAAAGTAACACCCTCTTAAGTTTGTCAGAGTTTATTAACCAGAATAAGAATGGAAACATTTACTGTTCTTTCCAATACATTTATTTATCTCTTCCAGAACTTCCCTCAAATTCTCAAGTTGCCTGTACTTTGAAATACCAGTGTTCCAACTTCCTTATTTGGTTGCTGAAGCTGTTCTTTGTCTTGTTCAAACATTCTGATGAAGCTGCTTGCTTTCTCTCTGTCCACAGCCTTTCCACCCCCACCCCCCTTTCAGTCTGGCTTCAAGCAGGTCACTCTGACTCAGCCTCCTTTGTAGCTTACAAACCAATCACACGCTGGTTATGCCCATTTATGGAGTACCTTTCCTTTTGGAAATCAGCAAGGCAAAAGGGATTTTTCAGTTGTTTGGAAAAGTGTTCACTCTGCTGCAAAATCTGAAGTGAGCATAAACCACAGATTTCTATTTTACACATTGCTGTCTTTTTGCTGAGAAACCAGGGCAATATGTATCTGTGTAAGAATGGGGAGCAGAGATTAAACACATACTAACTTGGGCTCATGTTTTATTTATTTCTTTGTAGTTTAGCCATATCTGTGCCCATGTTTATGGTATGATCTCTAGCACATTTGCTCAAAATAAATATTCTGAACTCTCTTAGGCTTACTATCCAGTAAATATATTGAAAATGCCTTCAACTTTCAAAGAATAAGAGGTGCACAAATATTCTTCAGATTTTTTTCTCTGTGCAGTTCAATATATTGCAGAACTGATACCAATGGCTAAGATGAAGGAATGCAATTTTACTTAGTGTATAGTTTAAAACTGCCTTCCCATCAACCACCACCACCAAAGCAGGCACTAGCAAGTATTTTAATGATTTATCAACTTTTCTCGGCAATGTATAAATCTCATAATCTTTCTACATTTTTTCAGGGGAATGTACTGATGATGCTGGTATGACATATTATTTAATTCTAATAATTTAGGATTAGACAACCGCTGAGCAAATAGTTGAAATGTGCCTTGCTAGCATCTTTCTTGGAGTTACAAAAGACAAACTAGTTTCTTCTTTCTATCTATACTTGTGGACACATACGGAGTCATATGGCATCCAGGATGAATGGAACTATAATAACTAATCTCATCCCTAAAATCCCAGTATTCCCATCTTGGATATTCAGATTTTATATTTGCAAGAAGCAACCGGAAGATGCTTAACTGCAGAATAGAGCAACAACAGACACAGAAAGAAGCTTAAGAGATTGAGTTAAATATAAACCTAATTATTCATCTCACATGGTTTTAAATATTTAATATATTAATATGATCACAATTCTGGGCAAAGAACCTTCCTATGTATCACAGATGACAACTAGGCCACTTGTGGAATAGTTAATGGCCCTATTCTTATATATTGTTTGGTTTACATATACGTTAAGTTATAATGCATTCTATTTTCATGGCTTAGCATGCCAAAGGAAGCCAGCAACTATAGTGCATAAACCATTCCTATGTACTTACTATTATAAGTGAATGGTTATAATGCAATTGCTGATTGTACTTATTACAGTATAGAATAGCTGTAAGTCAAATGTATAGTAATATTTTCTATCTACATGTATGGTGAGTAGAAGTGTATATGTGCTGTAGGGCATAAGTGTACATATCATCACACATTCTTTGGAAAGAAATCTCTAGAGATCTCAGTGAGGTAGGACAGCTATAAAGATTTGCAGATATAGTAAATGGAGGCTGCACAGCTTCTCCAATCCTATTTCTGACATTCATTCATTCAGCTGACAAGAAATTACCTATGCAAATGAGCTTATTGAGGACCTTGAGCCCTGGTCACTTAAAGTTTTAACTCTTGAAAATTCTTTACATGTTGAAGTCAACACTCCCACCCACCCCTTTACCTGATACCCCTGCTTTAACAGGTAGAAATTCGGACTGCAATAAAGGAGCTATATTTTACTGATAATGGTGTAGACATGTGCTTTATCTTTAATCTTTCTTCATATGTTTAATACACAAAGGGCATAATAAGGGGATGGAGTGACCCTCATATAGGCATTTAGGCTAAAAATTCATGAACACAACATTCTTGTTAATCCCTACTAATTCACCTCTCCTCAGCTATTATTTTACCATCTCTTTCCTTCCACAGGTTGGTAAATAAAGGACCCCAGATTTTGTACATAATGGAGAGGACACGTTCTCCTTACATTTCAGATACACATCTACTGAGTCGGGGGTGGATTCGAATTTTTTTTACTACCGGTTCTGTGGGCGTGGCTTATTTTGTGGGTGTGGCTTGATGGTCATGTGACAATTATTTATCGTCATATCGTCACCGCTACTGGCTCGGCGGAACCGGGTAGAACCCACCACTGTACTGAGTGGTTTGTTTTCTAGATGGAAGAGGCAGTTAGTAAGGAGAACAAACGGAAAAAATGCAAGACAATCAGGTCAGGATTTTTTTCATGGGGTAGTATAGACACATTTCTACATCTAGAATTAATAGCACTGTAATATTGCATTCAACTATTCTAAATTACTGGCTAACAATTTTGGAAGGCATAGTTCAAAGAATCTTGAGAGTCTCAGCTTCATAAAAAGGTTCTATAGAGTTCAGAAGCATGACATTTTCTTGGAATGCTGGTGAATAATATTATAACCATCCATTTTTAATTATTTTTTCAGAAATATAGGCACTTTTATTTCTTATTTGAATATGTTTGTACTATGGTATGCTTTCTTTTCCTTCCTTTTTATCCAGTTATTTTTACCAGACAGCCAATACAGTATTAATCCAATATAGTAGGGGGTGGATTGCAGGTCCCAAATGGAATTTGTGATGTTAGGTGGGGATGATTGAAAGCAGAAGCAGTGCATCTGGCATTCCAGTCATTCCCCTAGAGGTGCTGCACCTTGCTTAGGAGCATAACTATAGATTAGATTGCAAGAAGTTAAAGAATACTGTGGAAATTTTATCTCCTGAGGATGCAACTCAACCACTTGTGCAATATGCACAACTGATAACACATTCAGTGTACAGGGTGCAGGAAACAAAAATAAGGCAAAAAACATGTACAGGTAATCTTTGACTTACAACCACAATTGAGTCCAAAATTTCTGTGATTAAGCAAAACAGTTGTTAAGTGAATTTTATCCCGTTTTACGACCTTTCTTCTCACAGTTGTTAAGTGAATCGCTGCAATTTAAATTAGTTACATGGTTATTAAGTGAATCTGGCTTCCCCATTGACTTTGTTTCTCAGAAGTCACAAAAGGAGAATTATTTTACTTTTATATAAACTCAACAGTTTACCCTTTAAATCAATATTTTACTATTAACACTTTTAAGGGAAAAATAATGGTTAGTTCTTCTCTGATGACAGAACCAGCCAAAATAACAATATTGCTATTACACTTTCCCTGACACATAGGTTTTGTTTGCATAACACCCCTGATTTAGTGGTGAGGAGGCTAATTTGTTGTGCAAACAACCTAATCCAGTTACAAGCAATTCATTCTCATGGCTGCCAGACAATTATGTTAACCCATACAATCATCCATGTTTTATGTACTATTTACTAGACTTTGTATCTCTTCAGTTCTAAATTAAAGAAAAACTAGACAGGACCCATAAAATGGGGTTTAAGAACTCTGCCCTCTCTCCTTTTCCATCCACCCCTAAGCAAAAAAACTTCCCCTTCCTGATTCTGAAGAGGCACTGGCCTCAATTATGTTTTTGCATGCCTTTTGCTTCCTTTTTTTTCTTGTTTCTTGTTATTTTTAATCCCACCTTTATTACTTTATAAGTAATTCAAGGTGGCAAACATGTCTAATGCTCTTCCTATTTTCCCCATAACAATAACCCCGTGAGGTGGATAGCCTGTAAGAGAGTGGGTGGCCCAAAGTCCTCCAGCTGGCTGTCAGATCCCTGACGTGATACTGCCATTCATATGGAGGGAGGAGGAAGCATGGGGATAAGCTGTATT